CCCCCCGAGGCTCCAACCTACCATGGGGTTACCCTTGGGCACAGACACACCTGGCTCAGTGTCCCCTCCCCCCATCTCTTCTTGGGGCCTGGGTGGCATGGGGCAGGGCTGCAATGGGCGGGGGGACTGTGCCAGGGAATGTGGGGGCTGGGCAGGGCTGAGCTGGGGAAGGGGGGCTGTGATGTGGGGCTGGGCAGGGCTGTTCCAGGCAGGGGGGATGACCATGTGGGGGGCGCTGTGCAGATCAGGGGCAGGCGGTGGCCTGGGTCACAGCGGCCGTCCGGGCAGAGGGGAGGAGCTGGTTTAGCACATGCTGTGTGGGGCTCGGGCGAGGCCCCTCCTCGGGTGCTGAGGGGTTGGTTCAGTGCCCCACAGAGCAGTGAGTCGCCTGCTATTTGTCCTCCCTCCACACCCCGGCCTGCATGGGAGATTTTGCCAGGCCCAGCCAGGACTGCAGGGATCCCGTTCTTGGTAGGCTCCTTAGTGGGGCCTGATTAACACCTGCCCCCGTCCTGCTGCTCCCTGTCCCTGGCGCAGGGGCAGATCGGGGCCCGATGCAGGGGCAGGGTTACCCCCTCTCCCCTCCTCCCTTGGCGGCCGGGGGAGACTCTCAGATTCAAAGTGATTCTTAAAATAAAGCCTTGAACTAGTTGCTGGAGGCTGCCCGCCCCAGCAAGGACCTGGTTGCTGTGGCAACCCCTGACTCCGCTTGGGGGGGGGGGGGTTGAGCTCCGTGACTGGCATATTCCTGGCTTGGGACATGGTGCCAAGGGGCCCAGCTGGTGTGGGGGGTGGGAAGCAGGGCTGCGCCATGGGGTGGGTGTGGGTCCTGTGCACCATGGATCCAGAACGTCTCACCGGGGGTGGGAGCCGGACTCTGCTGGGCAGGGAGGGGGCTGGGCAGTGACTGGAGGGTGCCCAATCCAATGCCCATCCTGTCCACCCAACCTGAGGGAGCCCTAGGCCCAGTCTCCTGCATGTGCCTTCCACCCCCCACGATTCCTGCCCCACGCCAGCCTTGGGTTTGCTAGACTCACCGTAGCCAGCCTGGCTTGTTCCTGACCCAGCCCCATGGCATGGGCAGCCCCTGCTCCCCGCTGCGCTGCTATGGGGGGGCAGGCAAGGTGTGTGGGGAGGCTCGTGGGGGTTCAGGGCAGGTGGGCGAGGGTGGGTGGTAGCATAGGGGGAGGCAAAGCCCCGGGCACAGGTGGTGGTGACACACAAACGTGGTTTACGGAAAAGATGGTCAAATACAGCCGTGGCACCATGGAAATCTCCATGGTACCAAACTGGATAAGGAGACTCTCTTGTTTCCATGGAAACCAGGCCCAGTGTCATTTCTCTCGCGCTGTTCCCTAATGTTATTGGGATCATTTGAGCTGTTCGCCAGCCCTGTGGCGGGGGAGGGGTCTGTGCTGTCCAGAGTGGGGCGGGGGCTGCTAGGCACAGAGCTGGGCCAGCTGGAGGGGATGCTGCATCGGCATCCCCCGGGGGGCTGGGTGACAGGGCTCCCTTGCTCGGGGTTGGGGTTGCTGGTGGTTACCATGGAGACGTGCTGTGTGCCTGTCAGGGGAATCTGCCTACCTCTCTTGGTGGTGCTTGGCCGGGGGGAGCGTGAGGCTGAGCCAGGGGAGGGCAGAGGGCTGGGATGCAGGCAGCTCCTCCCCCACCTGAGCAGGTCCCCCCCATTAGCTGCCCCGTGCCTGTCCCCTGCTCAGAGAGGGGGGCCCTGCCGCACGGGCAGGGGAATAGGAGCTGGGCACGGCATGTGAGGCAGGGGGTCAGGTGAGCAGGGCACACGAGGCGCAAACCCCAAACCCAGGGACACTCCTGCCCCAGGCAGGCAGAGTCCTCCTCCGTCAGAGCCCTGTGCCGTAACCAGGTCTGATACAAAGTGCCCTGTTGTGGCGTTAGGGGGCGCTGTGCTGCGGGGTGGTGGCAGTGGGGCAGAGCGCAGCAGGGGGTGCTGTGCTGCAGACAGTGGGGCAGGGCTCAGCAGGGGGCGCTGTGCTGCGGGTGGTGGGGCAGGGTGCAGCAGGGGGCGCTGTGCTGTGGGGTGGCGGCAGTTGGGCAGGGTGCAGCAGGGGGCGCTGTGCTGCAGGCAGTGGGGCAGAGCGCAGCAGGGGGCGCTGTGCTGCAGGCAGTGGGGCAGAGCGCAGCAGGGGGCGCTGTGCTGCAGGCAGTGGGGCAGGGCGCAACAGGGGGCGCTGTGCTGCAGGCAGTGGGGCCGTGCTCAGCATGGGGTGCTGTGCTGCGGTTGGCGGGGCAGGGCGCAGCAGGGGGCGCTGTGCTGCGGGGTGGTGGCAATGGGGCAGGGCTCAGTAGGGGGCGCTGTGCTGCGCGGTGGCGGCAGTGGGGCAGGGCGCAGCAGGGGGCGCTGTGCTGCAGGCAGTGGGGCAGGGCGCAGCAGGGGGCGCTGTGCTGCAGACAGTGGGGCAGGGCTCAGGAGGGGGTGCTGTGCTGCAGGCAGTGGGGCAGGGCGCAGCAGGGGGCGCTGTGCTGCGGGGTGGTGGCAATGGGGCAGGGCTCAGTAGGGGGCGCTGTGCTGCGGTTGGCGGGGCAGGGCTCAGCAGGGGGCGCTGTGCTGCAGGCAGTGGGGCAGGGCTCAGCAGGGGGCGCTGTGCTGCAGGCAGTGGGGCAGGGCGCAGCAGGGGCGCTGTGCTGCAGGCAGTGGGGCAGGGCGCAGCAGGGGGCGCTGTGCTGCAGGCAGTGGGGCAGGGCGCAGCAGGGGGCGCTGTGCTGAGCTGCAGGGAAAGGGATCAGCTCTGGCATCTGGAAGGAAGGGGGCTGGGGGCGAGGGGACTGGCCTTCTCTGCCACTTTTCTTCAGACCCCTCCTGCTCTGTCTCCGCTGGCCCAGTCTGGATTTCCGGGCGGCTGGCCGGCCTGGGCAGCGTGAGGAAAACGGCAAAGGGGAGGACGCAGTGTCCTCCGCGCAGCGCTATACTGGGGGGGAGGGGGCAGCTCCCCCCACTGCCAGCCTGTTGCCCTGCTCCCTGCAGCCCAGCTGCCCCTAACGCTGTCTGAGCAGCCCCTAGCGCCAGTGCGCGCTGTTGGAGAGGGGGCTGGCGCTCAGGCACTGATGCTCAGGGGGTCGCCTGGCTGTAGGGAATGGAGCTGGCGGGCAGGGGCCGGTGGGGGGCTCTGCAGGGTGCCTCAGCTGCCAAAACCCCTGCACTTTAGCTGACCCCCGTGCCTGGGCCAGGCCCCCAGCCCCAGTGCAAGGCTCGGCAGCTGGCTCCCACCGCCCAGGCTGCAGTGTCCCCATCCAGAGGCAGGTGCAGGCAGAGTGGGAGGAGAGAGATGCCCATGCTAGATTCCCTCTAGTCTTGCCCCTCCCCCTTCCTTTGCCCAGGCTGGGGGGCGCCCTGTGAGCACAGCCCGTGGGGTGGGAGAGGTCGGCTGCTCAGTGGGGCTGCCCAGGCCCGTGTCACTGCCGAGCTGCTGGCGAACATCTGGGCAGGAGACAGGCCAGGCTGTGTGGGCTGCCAGAGGGGCTCATGCCCCCCCACCCATTGCTGTGCTGCCCCAGCGACCCTCAGCCCCCCATTGGCTCCATCCTCCTCAGGCTGCTGCTCTGTCTGCCCGGCCGGGGGTGGACGAGGCCGCACTGTTGGATGTGCCCAGTCCGGGGAGCACCGGGCTCTGGACACAGCCCTGGCTCCCTGCCCCCCTTCGCTCCCATCCCTGGTGTCCTGGCTTTCAAGGGAAGGCATCTGAAGAACCAAGCCGCAGAGCGATGCCTGGGCTGGGCCCCACGCTGCAGGGGTGGGGGGACCCGGTGAGTGACAGGGTGCCCCCCAAACCCTCCATCCACATCACCGGGGCACTGCAAAGCCTCATCTCTGCCCCGGGCGAGCACTGGTGCTGCCACAAGCCTCCCTCGGTCACTGCCACAGGGCAGCCGCTGGCACCAGCCCCCGAGCTCAGCTTCCCGCGGCCTGGCCCCTCCACTGGCTCCGGGGCAGGTGACGCTGGCATACCGGGGCAGCACTCAGGCAGGTGCCAGCTTTGGTGCCCCCATGAGCAGATCCTGCCCTGCAGCAGCTGGGGGGCAAGGGGCCTGACTGGCCTGTGGGGCCCTTGTGGGGAGGGGCCTGGCCTGGGGGGAACGGGGGGCTGCCCTGGGGTTCCCTGCCGATGGGCCCGTTCTGACTGATTCTGCGACACTTGGGGAGAATCCGGGGAAAAGCCAGCGCCCTGCTTCGGCAGGGGGCTCCCAGGCAGGCTGGCGGAGGGGGGGGGGGCAGCTGGGTGCCCCATAATCCCCACAGACCTGCTGATCTGCGACTCCTCCCTGCTCCCAGCTGTCCGGAGATTTCCCAGTGCCGCCCGCTCCCAGCTGCTGCTGTTCCCATTCCGAGCACGTCCCTGCAGGGCAGCCGCTCTCCACAAGTCACTGCCCGTGTGGTGCGGGCAAGCAGAGCAGGAGGGGGCAGGGCCCAGCCAGCCCCAGGGCAGGGCCGGGAGTCCCGGGCACCCCTGGGATGGGACCTGCCCCCAGCAGGGATCCTGGGGCCTCCTTTGAAGTGACAGGGACGGGGATTGTGTTGGGCAGGTGGCGCTTGTGGCAAAGGTGAGCTGGCTGCGGCGGGTGCCAGGAGAGCGGCTTTGGGGGGCAGTGCTGAGGCACGGGAAGGACCCCGAGAGCAGCCTAAGGGGCTCAGATTCCCAGAGCCCTGCTTGGACTCTGCCCCTGCCACCTGTCCATGATCCAGGGCACAGCGTCGGCCTAGGTCTTCTCTTACCTCCCAAGGCCCAGGCTGCTCTCTTTACTACTGACCTCTGGTCCCTGCTAGCCCAGCCCTGCCCCCCAGCTCTGCCGGTGCCCCTCACTCCCGACCCGCAGCCCTTGCTAGCCCAGCCCTGCCCCCCAGCTCTGCCAGTGCCCCTCACTCCCGACCCGCAGCCCCTGCTAGCCCAGCCCTGCCCCACCCCCCTGCCCTGCCAGTGCCCCTCACTCCGACCCACAGCCCCCTGCCAGCCCAGCCCTGCCCCCCCAGCTCTGCCGGTGCCCCTCACTCCTGACCCGCAGCCCCTGCTAGCCCAGATCCCCCGCCCCCAGCTCTGCTAATACTCCTTGGTGGGGGGCGATGGGTGTGTGGTTTGTGCATGTGGACGCAGGGAGACTGTGAAAATGGGGCTTGGTCTGGAGGCGGGATTGTGTGTGTGTAACACTGCCCCGTGCTGGAGGGGACTGGGGTGGTGTGTGTGTCTGAGCGATGTCGCCATCTAGTGGCTGCAGCTCACACGCGGGATTGAATTCCTGGACAAACGAGGGGAGATTGATCTTGGGAGGAGGGGGGAGGGCGGAGGTGAGCGCAGGGCGGATCAGGGCTGGGTGTTTGACACCCCCCCTTTGTCTTCCCTGCAGGCAACGTGGCCTGGATGCATGTGCTGGTGGCGCGGCAGATGCAGGATGCCCCGGCGGCCATCGGGGGCCAGGTCTACTTCTGCTACGACGCCTCCCCCTACAAGAGCTACGAGGACTTTAACATGGAGATCCTGGCCTCCTGCGGCTTCCGCCTCCTGGGCTCCCAGCCCGTCGTGCCCCACTGGCTCCTGCGTTGCCTGGCCCTGGCCAACAACCTCCTCCGGCGGCTTCTCCGGCCCTTCTTTTCCTACGCCCCCCTGCTCAACCCGTACACCCTGGCCGTGGCCAGCACCACCTTCACGGTGCAGACGGACAAGGCCCAGCGCCACTTCGGCTACCAGCCTCTCTACACCTGGGAGGAGAGCCGAGCCCGCACTGTGGCCTGGATCCAGGAGGTCGACGCCCAGAGAGAGGCGGGGAAGTAGAGCCGGTGGAGCCAGATAGTAGTGGGGGACTGAGCAGCTGGGCCTTGGTTCCAGCCTGCATGTTTCTTTGCAATGAATCCAGCTCCGGAGAGAGGAATCCAGATCCAGGTGTTGTTCCAACCCGCCAGTGCCAGGGGATGTGGGAATCCGGATCCGGTTTTGCTCCATCCCGTGGCTGTCAGAGCAGGGGATGGGGGAATCTGGATCCGGTTTTGCTCCATCCCGTGGCTGTCAGAGCAGGGGATGGGGGAATCTGGATCCAGGTTTTGCTTCCATCCTGTGGGTGTTGGAGCAGGGGATGTGGGAATCTGGATCCGGTTTTGCTCCATCCCGTGGCTGTCAGAGCAGGGGATGGGGGAATCCGGATCCGGGTTTTGCTCTGATCCTACCTACATCCTTCTAGTGAATCTGGCTCCATGGAGATGGATTCCGGATCCGGGTTTTGCTGCCAGCCTGTGCACCTCAGTGCAGAGGCATTGGCCAGTCCAGGTCTTGTCTCATCCCAGCACACCGCGACCCGGTTTCCTTGGGATCCAGATCTGTGATCCACTCCCGGAATCCAGGTTTTGCCTCCCCCCCCCCCCCCAGTGCATTCCTGCAGACCATCCCGCTCTGATTGCAAATGGATCCAGATCTGGATTTTGTTACCACCCTGGTGCTTTGGTCTAGATCCCCAGTGCACTTCTGGGGAGGAACCAGCTCTACCCTAAAGGGATCTGGACATCGGACGTCCCCCCCCCCCCCCAGCCCCATGTCATCGCAGAGGTGGGTCAGACAGCTGGACCCGGATCCTACTCAAGAAATCTGGCTCCTGGACTCCATTGTCCATGGAGATCCTGCTCCGGGATTTCTTTCCAACCTATGTATTGGCCACCAGCCTGGACTCCATGCTCCCTGGAGGCCAACCCACGTATTAGACCTCTTGGATTGGAGTCCATTCCCCATTGGACTCCAGCTCCAGGCTTTCCTTCAGTGCGTGAATATCTCTGGTCTAAGCATTAATTTCCTCAATTATTATTATTATTATTATTATTTTATTATGACTAATTATAAGAAGAGGCCTAAAGCCCACAGCACATTCCACCCAGACGTGCCAAGCAAAGTCTGGTAACTTATGTATTAATTAAACTGTTAAAGGATCACTTGATAATGGAGAAAAGATTATTTTTTGTAGGGTCGGAAGGGGATTGGCTGGCTCACAGGGGCGGGGAAAGGGACATGGGGTCTGTCCCCTCTAGGGGGCGCGGGCCCCCATCCGGCCCCAGGGCAGGGGATTGGCTGGCTCACAGGGGCGGGGAAAGGGACATGGGGTCTGTCCCCTCTAGGGGGCGCGGGCCCCCATCCCACACCAGGACAGGGGACGGGCTGGGTCAGTGGGGCGGGGAATGGGGCACGAGGGTCTCGTCCCCTCGTAGGGGGCGCTCGGCCCTCCCATCCGGCCCCAGGGCAGGGACTGGCTGGCTCGGGGGGGCAGGGAAT